TAAAGGCTTATTCTGAGAGGGAGAGAGAGAGAGAGAGAGAGAGAGAGAGAGAGAGAGAGAGAGAGAGATTTACATTCCTTATATTTGTTTTAAATCTTTTTTTTTCCTGAAAATATACATTGCAGCTAAAATGGAAGCTTTCATCCCATTCTTCTCCCCAGAGGAAACTTGTATGGTGAATTTGGTGCATATCCATACCATATTTTTATATGATTCTTCATAGTCATATACACAAAATAATGTAGTGTCTCCCATTCTTGTATATTTATTTAGATATTAAGATGTACATAATAATTTGTAATTTATGCTTTTACTCAGCATTATTTTCTAGATTTATCAAAATTCATACCTCTAAATCCAGTTCGTCCATGTCAGCTGTTTCAGTGCATCAGTTGTATTGTTACATTCCCCTAACACACTATTAGGTTGGCGGGACACTCATGATGCAATAAATATATGCATGTCATGCTTTCCTTGCACACATGCGTAGAACTAGGGAATATACTCAAAACTAGAATAGCCAAGTGGTAAAGCACTTTCATCTTTAATTTACTAAATATTGCACAGTGATCCTCCAGAGTGCCTCTTCTAATTTACACTCCAATCAACAGTGTATGTTTTCATTTCTCTGTTCCTAAATCAATACTGTTGCAGGATTTTTTTTAATTTGGCCAATCAGATGGATGTGGAATATTTCCTTATTATTTTAATGACCTCTGATTAATATAAGGTTCATCTTTCTCCCTGTTTGTTGGCCATTTGGATTTTCTCTTTTAGGAATTGTCTGTTTATATCCTTCAACGTGTGATTATTGTAATTTTTGTGTTTCTGAATTGGTTTGTGGAGGTTTTTTATATCATCCGAATCTGAATTCTAACCTCTGTCAGTCAGATGCATCATACGCGTCTCCTCCCAGGCTGTGGATGTGATTTTACTTCAGGTTCTCTTAGCGGGGTTTGTTTTGTTTTGGTTTTTGGTTGTGTTTTTTGGCAGCTGCATACATTTTTAATTGTAATACGGTTAAGAGAATCACAAGTTTCTTTTATTATTACTACTAGTAGGTATGTCTCATTTAAGAAATCTTTTTTTTAAGTTTTAAAAATATTTTACTTCTGCTATAAAGTTTTGTGGGGTTTTTTGCATTTAGGTCTTTAAGTTTTTAATTGTAATACGGTTAAGAGAATCACAAGTTTCTTTTATTATTACTACTACTAGGTATGTCTCATTTAAGAAATCTTTTTTTTAAGTTTTTAAAAATATTTTACTTCTGCTATAAAGTTTTGTGGGGTTTTTTGCATTTAGGTCTTTAACCCATCAGCATTTACTTTTGTGTTAGTTGAAAGAAACAAATACAATACTTTTTCCATTCAGAAAGACAATTGTTCCTAAACAATTTTTATGATAGTTTATCTTTCCCCCACTGACTTTAAATGCCTCTATATTGTATCTAACTTGAGGCAATTTTTTAACTGATCTATTTATCTATCTTTGTGACACTATTGTACTTTATGTATTGCTATAATTTTGTAAGTCTTAGATATATCTCTTGGCAAAAAATTTCTTTCTCTTTGTTTGGCTTTTTTCAAAATTTTCTTAACTATTTTTGGACCTCTATTCTTTTAAAATTTTCTAATAATATATTTTATTTATTTCAACATACACAAAATACCATTCCTTTGATATAAAATGTGACTCACTACATCTTAATTCAGACTAGCCATATTTCAAGTGCTTAGTAGCCACATGCGGCTAATCGCTGGTACTAACCAGTACATTATTACACCTTTACTCTTGCAAGCGATTTTTTTTTAATTGTTTGTCAAGTTCCATGAAAAAAAAGTTGAAATTTTTTTCCAATTGCATGAATTTCTCTCCCTCTCTCTCTCTCTTATTGTATTTTTTTTCTTCTACTTTTGGGGACAATTCACGTCTTTACAATATTGAGTCTGAGCATCCACGAACATGGCATATATCTATTTATCTAGGTCTTCATTTATATCCTTCAGAACATTTTATAATATTCCATGTGCAAGACTTTTGTATTTTTGACATGTATTACAAGACACCATATGGATTTTTTAGAATTCTCTCTTAATTATGTTTATCTACTATATTTTCAAATTGATTATTGCTAGTGTGTATGAGAACTGTTGTTTTTTGTATGTTATTCTTATGTCCAACAATCTCGCTGGAGTTTCTTGTTATTTTCAATAATTCTATATTGATTCTCTTGCAGTTCTGACATAGTCAATCATCTTGCCTATAAATAAGGGCAATTTTGCCTTTTTCTCCCCCAGTCCTTATACTCTGTAATTATTTTGTGCCTATAACTGGCTAAGGAACCCAGTAAACTTGACTAATACGGATAATAATGGGTATCCTTATGGTGTTACTATCTCTAGGGAATGCTTTAAATATCCACCTTTAAGTATCATGGTGCTGAAGGTAAGGATAGAGCCACTTTATCAGATTTAGGGAGTTTTCTGGTTTCTGTGAGTTGACACATTTGAAAGTATGGGCAGAACACCTGGCATGTAATACGGACTCAATAATGTATCTTGAATGAATAAATTTAAAATAACCCAGTGTGTGTCTGCCTCTGATTTTTCTATATCTATCCATTCCTAATATTTATGCTTATAATATATACCAATGGTCCTTAGGCTTTTTATTCTTGGAACCTCTTTAACTCCTAAAAGTTATTGAGGATCTTAACAAGCTCTGTTTTACGACATATCTATTGTATTAAGATGAAAATTGATAAATGTTTTGAATGCACACATTGTTAGCTCTAAATGATATGGCACTACAGCGTATCACCAGCCTCTAGACGACTCCACTGTATACTCATAAGAGATGGAGAAAGAAAAGGCAAATCAACTCAGCGTTATTATGAAAATACTTTTAACCTCAGAGGCCTCCCCAAAGCATCTCAGGACCCACAGAGCCCCTGGACCATAAGCCAAGATCTGCTACTATATTTGTGCCACATTTAAGCTTCACACACATCACGATCATGTCCCACGCTGTGAAACATCCTGCAGAAGTGCTATTGTAAATGGTTTGCATGAGACCCCGTCCCGTGGGGATGTCATGCGTACTTTGGGCTCCCTCCTGTTGTTGTGTGAAGGGTGACTTCAACCGTTCGTCGGCAGCAAATATCCTCATGCTGGGCACACATCTCTTACTAGTTCCTTAGGACAAATTTCTGGGCGTGGAAGTACTGGGTCATTGAGTCCTTAAGCATTTTTCCTGCTCTGACCAAGTCTTTTGAGATGATGCCAGGAAAGAAAAAGTTGATAACACCAGTTGAACGAGAGCAATTTAGACAATTCTCTTTTCAGCATCTTACTGCTCCACTTCCACTTTTCCAGTAAATTATCTACTTAAGAGATTAAAAACTACAGATATAAATATAATTAGTTTTGTCTAATAGCAATGAGTCTTAACTACAACACTATAGTACTCTTTTACTTTTATTCCTAACATGTTCAATGCTATATGTAAATTTACTAACCATATTGAAAACGTGATAGTTAACTAACTCATAACTATTATCTTCAAAACAATAAAAATTAACGTTTTTTGAAAATTTGCACTGTGCCAGAGGCAGTGCTAACCCCTGTACAGAAGCAATCTCATTCACTTAACAAATACTGCAGCCAGTGGATACAATGAGCTCTAACTTACAGATGAGCAGCCAGAGGCATGGAGGCCAGACGAGCCCAAGCCTGGGCCTTTCAGGGTATCCCTTGTTCGTTGCTCACTGTGAAGCAGTGAATGCTCTAAACCATAAAAGAGGGATTTTTGCAGAAGTCAAAATAAAGACCCTGAGAAGTCAGTTACCTGTCCAAAGGAATACCGGAAATGGTGGACCAAGGCTCAGACAGCTTTCAGAGGTCCTATGCTTAGGGGTCCCTCGTACAAATTAGGAAAAGGAGCCACTTTGGGCGAAGCGATTAAAAACGCCCTTTCCCCTCTGACTTGGAGACCAGGCTTGTTGCTCAGAGAGATGCTTAGGGGTCCCTCGTACAAATTAGGAAAAGGAGCCACTTTGAGCGAAGCGATTAAAAACGCCCTTTCCCCTCTGACTTGGAGACCAGGCTTGTTGCTCAGAGAGCAGGCTGGACTTGAGCTCCACCAGGCCCTTCCACCAGCGTCCTGTTGGAGGAAACAACCCGCCCAACCCGGGAGCGCGTTCTGTCCGTCTGTCTGTCTGTCTGTCCTTCACCTCTCGGAGCACTCTGCTTTTCCCGTGCGCTGACATTTTCCAGTGAGGCTGTCTGGTTCTCAGAAGACTTGCTTTCTTGTTCTGCTTCTGTTCCTGACTATGGGCCTCCCTGAGGCTCACGGGCACTGAAGATTTCCACATCCCGCTGGGCATCACCCGCTGTGGTTCTCTGATGACCGGTGACGCGCTGGTGCCCCTGGCACTCCAGACGTGTCTCTGGAACTAATCAGACCCAGACCCAATGCAGCTCCCCGCCCCATGGGCTGCTGTGTCGCAGGGAGCGTTCAGCCACAACTTTGAAAGTCCGGCGTGTCCTGGAGCTGGCCTTCGCAGAAGCGACAACGTGGACGTTTCACTTGTCTGGCAGATTTTAGTCTTTTGTCCAATTTCTGGAAAGAGTGGACGTTTGGAAATATCTTCCCCTACACTGTCAGCGTTCCTAGGCTGATGCGCCGCCAGGTGAGCTGCCTCGGTTACAGCAAGAACCGCAGGGATTCCGGGAATCCGGTCAGGCTTTCTCCAAACGCACCAGCCCGCCCGCTGCCACCCAAGCCGGGTCCCCGGCGGCTCCCGGGGTCCTCCCGCTCCCGGCCCTGACCGCGAAGCGTTTTCTTCCCGTTTAGATCCTATTCCCTTCTAACAAGAATGTGAGCTCAGGTAGAGACTTAGGAAATTGAACAGTAAAAAGGTTTCAGACACGCTGAGGTCACCTTAAGAATTCAAGGGCCGTGAGACACCTGCCCGAGAAGAGCCCGTCCCCTCCCCGGAAATGCGGGGTCCAGCGGTGACCTCAGGGACTCAGGAGCGGGGAGGCGGCCGCGGCCTGTATTTGGAGCCAAGCGAGCCCGGTCCCTCTCGCTCCAGTGCCCTGGGGGCCTGCCCCGCCTCTGGCGCGCCGCCCTCTGGAGCCGGCCCACCGGCTGCCCTGCCCGCGGCCGGGAGGTGCGGGGGACCGGGGCGGGTGCGGGGACAGCAGGCGGGAGGTGCGGGGGACCGGGGCGGG